CGTTCCTTTGGGAGCGCGTTTGAGCACCAAGCTCGGAAGAAAGAGCGGTCCATGTCTGCTCCAGGAAACTTACTGATGTAAGTACTGGTGGGCTGAGGCCTCTGGGCTGTTCTCTGGGTAGGATGGGTTGGGGGAGACTGAGGCACCTTCCCCCCACTCTCAGTGTCATTGAACACAGGTTGCCCTCCCTCGGCCTGTGAAGAACGCTGCAGAGGGCAGGGTTGGCAAGAGTCGTTAGCTGAGCCTGGAGCCTGGGGTCTCAGCCAGATCTGAGAATAGGGTGCTGTTTGTACCCCTGTCCTTGAGGCTGTGTGGGGCTAGAAGGGACCTCCCTGGTCCAGCTCTTATTTCAGCTATGGGCCCAGCATCCCTGCCTCACACACTCCTGGGGATGAGGCGCCCACCCAGCTCCTCCACAGGACAGGAAGACTCTTCTGTCTCACAGGAACTCCGCTGGGTCCAGCTCAGCCCTCTGGGGCTTTAAATCTGCAGTGATGTAACAATTACGCCATCTGCTGGTCCCGGGATTCAGCTGTCCTGCCCACCATGCCACCTGGCTGGCCCCCTCCACCTTCTTTCACTACAATATAAGAAGTCAGTCTGGGATGCCAACAAGGCCTGGAGTTTGTGCACAGACCTGCAGAGAGAATCTGCGGGGCTCCTGAACCAGGATGTCCTAGAACAGAGGTTGCCCTTCCCCAGCCTGTGGAGGGTGCTGCAGGGTTGGCAGGGTTGGCCCTCCTGGCTTGCCCAGTGGTGAAGCTGTGCTCCCAGAGGGGAGAACGCTGGATGTTGCCCAGCCTCTCGGGAGAGTCCCTTCACTTTTGTCTGTCCAAGGGTCCAGATTTCTGTGAGGTTTCTGTGAGGCCTCTCTCTCGTAAGGGGGCTTTCCAGGAGGTCAGGTCTTGTCATAGTGGACACGCTGATGGCTGCTCCCTGCACTCAGGGATGTCACAATGCGGGGACTGGAGAAGCCTGACAGCCCTGAGCTGCAGTTTCCCATCTCTTCAATGAGGTTGTTGGCATCGGAGTGGGGAGGGTTCCTGAGCTCACCTCAGTCTGCAGGCCTCTGGTGCTGGTTGTGCGTAGTGTGTGGGGGGAGGTTGTGTATAATTGAACATCCAAACAGGCCCACCTCAAGATGAAAGGGGAAGCTATTAATAATCACGCCAGGATGACATGGAGATTCAGGACTGTGTCCACAAACCTGGAAGTCTGGTCACTCTCAGTTCCTGTGGCCCAGTGCCCCCTAGTGGTGAGACAAGCCTGTCACCAGCAGGGTAAAGACAATTCCAGTACTCTCAGTGTCATTGAACACAGGTTGCCCTCCCTCGGCCTGTGAAGAACGCTGCAGAGGGCAGGGTTGGCAAGAGTCGTTAGCTGAGCCTGGAGCCTGGGGTCTCAGCCAGATCTGAGAATAGGGTGCTGTTTGTACCCCTGTCCTTGAGGCTGTGTGGGGCTAGAAGGGACCTCCCTGGTCCAGCTCTTATTTCAGCTATGGGCCCAGCATCCCTGCCTCACACACTCCTGGGGATGAGGCGCCCACCCAGCTCCTCCACAGGACAGGAAGACTCTTCTGTCTCACAGGAACTCCGCTGGGTCCAGCTCAGCCCTCTGGGGCTTTAAATCTGCAGTGATGTAACAATTACGCCATCTGCTGGTCCCGGGATTCAGCTGTCCTGCCCACCATGCCACCTGGCTGGCCCCCTCCACCTTCTTTCACTACAATATAAGAAGTCAGTCTGGGATGCCAACAAGGCCTGGAGTTTGTGCACAGACCTGCAGAGAGAATCTGCGGGGCTCCTGAACCAGGATGTCCTAGAACAGAGGTTGCCCTTCCCCAGCCTGTGGAGGGTGCTGCAGGGTTGGCAGGGTTGGCCCTCCTGGCTTGCCCAGTGGTGAAGCTGTGCTCCCAGAGGGGAGAACGCTGGATGTTGCCCAGCCTCTCGGGAGAGTCCCTTCACTTTTGTCTGTCCAAGGGTCCAGATTTCTGTGAGGTTTCTGTGAGGCCTCTCTCTCGTAAGGGGGCTTTCCAGGAGGTCAGGTCTTGTCATAGTGGACACGCTGATGGCTGCTCCCTGCACTCAGGGATGTCACAATGCGGGGACTGGAGAAGCCTGACAGCCCTGAGCTGCAGTTTCCCATCTCTTCAATGAGGTTGTTGGCATCGGAGTGGGGAGGGTTCCTGAGCTCACCTCAGTCTGCAGGCCTCTGGTGCTGGTTGTGCGTAGTGTGTGGGGGGAGGTTGTGTATAATTGAACATCCAAACAGGCCCACCTCAAGATGAAAGGGGAAGCTATTAATAATCACGCCAGGATGACATGGAGATTCAGGACTGTGTCCACAACCTGGAAGTCTGGTCACTCTCAGTTCCTGTGGCCCAGTGCCCCCTAGTGGTGAGACAAGCCTGTCACCAGCAGGTTAAAGACATTTCCAGTATCTACTTTGTGCCTGGCCGACTGTGACTATGAGACGACTGGGTTTAATACTTTCTACCTATAAAATCCTGTAGTTCTGGGACCAGCAGTTGGCGTAATGGCTATGTCGCTGACTCCCATGTAGTTGACCACAGTTCGAGTCCCGGCCCGGGTAGCTTAAACTCCCTGGGCGCGGGGGCAAGATCCCAAGAGGAGAATGGAGAAGGGATTGTGGCGTGGCCATCCCCCCAGGGGGTGACTTCTTACTTTCTGTCTCTCTGTCTCTCTGTCTTTCTGGCAAGTGCACACGCCCTATAGCAAAAACCTCTCAAAAAAGAAAAAAGAAAAATCCTATAGTTCCATGATCCAAGTTTAATTTTGAGAGGGGGTTATATCTCATCATTGAGTCCAACATTCGTCCTTCCTAGACTTAGGAGCTTCTTATTTTTTTAGTTTTTGTGAATGTGTGGTATGTGTATGTGTTTTGTTTTTGTTGTATGTGTTTTAGAATTATTTTCATTTAACTTTATTATTATTACTTAATTTGTGAGACAGAGAGAGAAGGGGCAAGTCAGAAAGCAAGCCACCGGGTCCTGGACTTTAATCACAGTTGGTCATGTGGGAGTCCAGTGCCCTTAACTGCCACACCACCTGCTGGCCTGTGTGTGTGTGTGTGTGTGTGTGTGTTTAATGAGGTGGCAGAGGCTGGAGGGACAGGGACAGAGATAGGTACATTTGACAGTTTTGCCATGTCACAGTCTTCCTGCCTCAGTCTCTCAATTAGCGAGGATCACAGGTATACACAGGTGTCCCTGGCATGCTCAGGTTGGCTTAGGAGCTGAGCCCAGGCCTGCTATGCAGCTTTCAGTCTTCCGAGTAGTGGCCTCTCTGTGTGCCACCGTGGCTGGGCCTGTGTGATGTTTTAGACAGGGTCTCGCGTGTTGCGGTCCTCCTGCCCCAGCCTCGCTTATGGCTGGAACTACAGGTGTGCATCACCACGCCAGGCTCTGTACAGTGGGCCAGGAAGTACATCCGTGCTGCACAGGGGGCCTCGTCCTGCCAGGGTAGCGTCCAACACCTGCTCCTGTGACTGCTCCTTGGTAGACTGCTCCGTACACTTTACGATAGCTTTCGAAATTCTCTAATAAAATTAAGTGGGCAGTGTGGAGGTTAAGGCCCTGGATGGCTGTAAGGTTCGCGTCTTGGACCCTGTGGCTTGAAAAACACTCCCGGTGCATGTGTGCATGTGTCCAAAACCCCAAGAGAAGAATGGAGAAGAACGGATTGCAGAGTGGCCATTTCCCTGTGGCAGGGTCTTGCCTCTACCTGTCTATCTCTCACAAGTGCATGCACACTACAGGAAAACTCTTTAAAAAATTAAGTGGGATTGGGAACCAGCAGTTAGCATAATGGCTATGTTGACCGCGGTTCGCGTCCCGGACCCGGTGGCTTAAAACTCACGCCGGGCATGTGTGCGTGCATGCCCAAAATCCCGAGAGGAGAATGTGGGAGAAGGGATTGTGGCATGACCATCACCCCTGGGGGGTGATTTCTCGCTTTCTGTCTCTATGTCTCTCTCTGTCTGTCTGGCAAGCGCACACGCCCTATAGCGAAAAAACCTCTCCAAAAAAAAAAAAAATTAAGTGGGATTCATTCTTTTTTAAGATATCAAAACCATTCAGAAGTTATTTAAAAAGAAAGGTCTGGGGCCGAGCAGATGGCGTAATGGTTACGTTGCTGGACTTCCACATGGCCAGCGTTTGAGTCCTGTACTTAGTGGCTTGCTTTCTCACTTCCCCTCTCTCTCAAATTAAATAATAATAATAAAGTTCAATAAAAATAATCCCAGAGCCAGTGGCTTGAAACTCATGCTGGGCACGTGTGCACGTGTGCCCAAAATCCTGAGAGTAGAATGGAGGAGAAGGGCTTGCAGTGTGGTCATCCCTCCAGGGGTGATTTCTTGCTTTCTGTTTCTCTTTCTCTCTCTGTCTCTCTGGTGAGCACACGCGCCCTGTGGCAAAAAGATCAGCAGATGGCATTATGGTTATGTCAGTGGACTCTCACATAGTTTGACCACAGTTTGAGTCCTGGACACGGTGGCTTAAAACTTATTCCAGGCACATGTATGTATGTGCCCAAGATCCTGAGAGGAGAATGGACAAGGGATTGCGGCATGACCTGGGGGATGATTTCTCACTTTCCATCTCTTTGTCTCTCCAGTGAGCACACATGTCCTGTAGCAAAAATCTCTCTTAAAAACAAACAGGGACCAGCAGTTGGCATAATGGCTATGTTGTTGGACTCCCATGTGGTTGACCATGGTTTGAGTCCCGGACCTGGTGACTTAAACTCATGCCAGGCACGTGTGCATGTGTGCCCAAGATCCCGAGAGGAGAATGGAGGAGGAGGGATTATGGCGTGACCATCCCCTCTGGGGGGTGATTTCTAGCTTTCTGTCTCTCTGTCTCTGTCTTTCTGGTGAGCACATGTGCCCTATAGCAAAAACCTCTCCAAAAACAAAACAAAAAAACAAAGAAAGGTCTGTATGTGTGTAGGCTGGGGTGGAATTAGATACAGGAATCCATTGAATACAGAAAAAAAAATCCCAAAACTGGTAATAGGTAGACTCTGTCCTGTGAACAAGGCAAAAAAGTACAAAATGACCAGATCCACTGGGAGTTGAATGAGGTCACGTGAAGGCCCCAACCTGGCTGATACTGCAGCGACACTGGGAAGTCAGTTGTGGTGGATCATGAGAGGCTTTAGAGGCCAGGCTGGGAAATTTAGATTTCGTCTCAGGGCAGTGGAGAACCATAGAAGGTGGTGGGCTGAAGCTAGGAGCAGGGAGACCAGCCAGGGCCAGCTGCCACGGTGTGAGGGGGTCAAGTGGAGACCCAGCTTAGGGAGGTGGGTAGAGGGGATTTGAGAGGTCACAGGGTTTAACTGCCTGTGTGCACATATGCAAGAGTTGTCCTCTTCAATGCATGTTCTAAGCCCTGAAGTCCCTCTGTCCCTGGTGTTCCCTGGCAGGAAAGAAGGGTGTGGCGACAGCAGCAAGAGCCCAGAGCTTCCTGGCGTCCAAGAAGACGAGGCTGCGTCCTGAGCCCCTGCATGCGCCCAGGGCCGCCCAGCAGCACGCTCATCCCGCGCCTCCAGAGGCCCACCACCCTCATGCGACAGCTGCCCCTGCAGGCAGGGGGCCAGGGACTGTGCCCCCTCCCGGCCCCCCTCCCTCTGTGGTGCTGCATGATCTCCACACGTACGTCCAGGGACAGGATTGCAATGTGTGTCATCTGGGGCTCTGGGGGACAGGGCTCCCACGAGGGCTTCCTCCTCATCCTGGCTCTCCCTGGCCTGACCCATCCTAGCACCCATGAAGCCTCAGAAACCTTACTTGTGGCTGGCGAGAACCAGGGCAGCAGGCAGGGAACAAGAAGGTAGGCAGAGGCCTGGCTTGCTGTAACTGCAGAGACGTCAGGTCTGGCTCAGTGCACAGGGAGGGCTGTGCCCTCCCCACCTCAGGGTAGTGGTGCCAGAGTGTCTCCTCAGAATGCTGGGATGAGGCCCTGACCTGCAGTGTGTTTCCGGGCCTCAGCGGGAAAGGGCCCGCACTGGAGAGTGCACGTTGTCTCTGACTTTTGTTCTAAATCTGGGGCAGCAGGTAGGATGATGAGTAAGGTACTACCTCCCACGCTTTCCTAGCTTTGGGTGGA